TTAATAACTGCACGCGGGCAGGAATCAGAAATATAGACAGACGCTTGTGTATTTAAAATGTATGTTGGTTGAGTATTTAAAATCGGATTGCAATGAGTGATTAAAGTCCGTTTTCCACTAGGCGAAGCGAATTTTCTTTTGTCACGGCATCGCTTTAATTTGCTGACGTGGAAGTGATGGCGACAAAGAAAAAAGTCGCTTCGCACGAACAAATTCACCTAGAGCATAGAGGAAAACCGGGTTAAGATTGGATGGTTGTAGATCGGATATGAAATTAGACTGCCATTAGTCGACTGAAGGTACAATCTTTGCCAAAAACTATAAGACAAATAGTGAAAGTTTATATCACTTATTCTGTCCATTTCCCCCCGCGCCCCCCGTTCAATGTTGATGTTACAAAAAATGGATACATCGCAAACGAGACATCATCTGGCATCAACGCAACATTGAAAAGGGTGGGGGGAGGGATGGATGAATATTCACGTGGAAAAGTTGTACAATGTCTATATGACGTTTTTGAAACTATCCCATAGTACAGTATATTGTCAAAGATTGTAGTTTCTTTACACCGAATTCAAGGTGATTGGCAGGGCCGCCGAGAGGTTGGCGGGGGCCCGGAGCAAGTTTTTTTAGGGGCCCCTATTTAAAAATTTTTTCCATCGACAACTTTTTAGGTAAAAAATTTTTCCGGACGAGTACGTTGCAATTGCTTTCCAGGGACTTTTATCTGAATTTTTCATGCCAAATTTCGGTACTTAGCCCCAAAAAACAGATATCTTGTCCTTTGCGCAAAAATGTTTAACACACAAAAAGACTGAGGCCCAACAAACAATTTTCAGGGCCCCCCAGCACCTCGGGGCCGGGGAAATTGCCCCCCCCCCCTCTCGGCGGCCCTGGTGATTGGTAAAGTAGCGCTCGATGTACGACAATATTTTGTCTCCATGTTTAAAAATTTTATTGATTTGCATTCGTATGTTTAAATAACAAAATATAGTGCCTGCTGTTGAATCAGTGGGGCTTCGGTGGCGCGGTCGTCGGAGCAAAATTGTTGTGATGAAAAGTTTTGTTTCCTGAACATATTTATGAGGGGTGGAATGGGACAAAAATATAAATTGGTGAAGATAGATGTTTTCGGACAATGTCTCATGTTTTCGGGCCGTATGTTTTCGGTTCACATGTTTTCGGGCAATGTCCCATGTCATCGACATCGGACCGTATGTTTTCGGTTCACATGTTTTCGGGCAATGTCTCATGCCATCGACATCGGGCCCGTATGTTTTCGGTCCACTTGTTTTCGGGCAATGTCTCATGTCATCGACATCGGGCCGTATGTTTTCGGTTCACATGTTTTCGGGCAATGTCTCATGTCATCGACATCGGGCCATATGTTTTCGAGCCGCATGTTTTCGAGCCGCATGTTTTCGGTTCGCATGTTTTCGGGCAATATCTCATGTTTTCGGGCAATGTCTCATGTGATCGGGCAATGTAAATGCTACATCCGGGTTCCATCAATTTGGCGCTTTTTTTGTCACATGGGTTTTAAACTTTTCTTTAACAATAATCATGCAAACTGCAAAGTGTTTCACTGTTTTTATGGTTGATTTATAGTGCTTTGCAGTTCAAGGTGTTTTATTTTTTTCAAGGGCCAAATTTAAATATGGCTAAAGTATCATAGTTCTGTTTTAAGTACATGAGATTCATAACGTCGAACAAGTACGTATACAATGTAATTTAATTTGTTTTAGTTCCACAATATACAAAACGAATCCTGTTTAATAGATTGTTTACAATACTGTATTTTTATTGTGGAAGTAGAACAAATTAAATTACATTGTATACGCACTTGTTCGACGTTATGAATCTCCATGTACTTATTATAAAAACAGAACTATAATACTTTAGCCATATTTAAATTTGGCCCTTGAAAAAAATAAAACCCCTTGAACTGGAAAGCACTATAAATCAACCTTCAAAAACTCATTAATAATTCAGGAGGAAAACACAAAGAAAAATCATAAGCGTGTCGTGGTTTTATATGTGATAAAAAAATCACGTTACTTTGATTTTCTCGGTTTAGACAAAGTTTATTTTAAAAATTACTTCGCCAATGAACTCCTATAAGATGAGTCGTTTTTGAAGCCATTTAAAGCACTTGTAGTCGTGTTTAATCACATATAAAACACTCCGCTACGCGTCGTGTTTTATATGTGACAAAACACGACTACGCGTGCTTTAAATAGTACATAAAAACAGTGAAACACTTTGCAGTTTGCATGATTATAAATAAAGAAAAGTTTAAAACCCACGTGACAAAAAAAGCGCCAAATCGATGGTCC